TTTTTTTTTTTTTTTACTGATTGCTACTTTTAATTTGGTCACCAATTTTTTGACGTTGTTAACGCGTTCAAAGAAAAGAATTAGTTGACAATACTTTGCTGAATCTGCCAATTGTTTTGATATATACCATATTTTGTTGTTCCATACCAAAACTGTTATATGTTCCAGTTATTTGAACAATACAATTACCACCATCGTTATCACCACCACCACCACCACCACCAAAAACAACAACAACAGCAGCTTCAGACGCTACAAAAATTAAAGAGAAAAAAGATGATTATGATGGATACAAATATATATCTTTTTGTAGGCTGCAGGCAGTAACTGACATTAAATTGAAATTATTTGATCAGACACTAAATATTTTGTTCGTATGACAAATAAAAATTTTTTGTCATCTTCTTTGTTTTTTTTTCTTTTTATTCGACAAATTTATTGAGCAAAAAAAGAACAAGAGCAAAAATGAAAAGAAAAAAACAAGACAATTTTTTATTTTTTAATTAGTTTATCATTATTTACAATTTTTCATCTTTTTTTATTTTTTTTCATTGTTTTCTTATTGGTCCAAATAGAATTTTGCTCCTTTTTAAAGTACCAAGTGGAAGAAACAGTTGACAGAATCGTTACGGGAAATTTGCAAAAATCGGCCACTATCAATCTCACCGGTAGCAACGTTAGCTGCCTTCCATCCGGAATTATATCCAACGACAGTCGGGACAATGTCACGGCACAATTTTCAATGAATGCACATCAAAACTAAACTGTTCATATATTCGTCTTATTGACAACAATATGCAAAAAAAAATTTATTGTCAAACTATTTTCACTAATGTATCATAATTTTTTTTTCTTTTTGTTTTTCACCTATATATCGTTTCTTCTAATTTTTGATAACTCTTTCTGTTTCTTTTGTCGTTTTCAGACTTTCGTTTTGTTATATTTTTTCAGTTTCTCTCATCTTTCTCCCCCGTCACCGCAGAAGTGATAAATTTGCTTTAAAGCTATGGTTACTGTAACAATTTAAATTTTTAGCTCAATTAAACACCCAACATTTTGGTAGTCCACCTACGATGCTTTTATAATGCTTTTATGATTGCAGCTTATCACGAAGATATTGATGTTGCTGATATTGATAATGTTATTTGAAAAAATCTGTTTCAAAGATTGATGATTTCTGTGGTAGTTACTGCCTACCAAAAATTTATTGTAATTTTAACAAAACCCAGTGCTTCAGAAATATTTTTCTATTATATGAAATATATTGTTTTTGCATAAATGTAAGCTGTAGACAAAATAAAGAACAAAAAAAAAGTGAAAGTAAAAATGAAATAAACGATCAAAAAAGCAAAAAAAAAAAAAAAAAAAGGAGACTAACTGAACAAGTTTTAATAAATTTTGGACATTCCTTTGTCTCCAGATGTTGACTTCTGGTTTCTTTTTTCAATTCTCAATGTATAAAATTGTTTAATAGTGTTTAAAATTTTATTCCTATTCTTTGCATATATATTTTGTTTGTGTTCTTTAAAATTTATTAGCTTTTTTTTTTTTGTCTTTTTTTGTACCGCTTATTTTGCGGGGCTTTTGTTGTCGTTGAACAGTTGTTTTGCACACAGATACACACAAAGACACACACAAAAACACAGTAATTACTGAGATTTCTGTAGCTAAAAAACTGGTAATTATCTGGCAGTGTTGTCAAGTAATATTGATAAATAAATTTATTAGATGCATTTAGAATATATAAGAAAAAAAATTTGATGACGATTGACATATACAGACAGCGATTTGATAAACATCTATTTTTTTAACTCTGATAAAGCAGTTTTCCTAAATTTTCTTTTTGTTACTCTTTATTTTTTTTCTTAGCTGTTTATCATACTTAAATTTTTATTACTTCTTAAAACAACTTTGCTAGAGGATTTCTTCATTTGCTGCGAATTTTGAAGAAAAAATAACTGTGCCAAAAAGTATGATGAAAAAAATCAGAGGTCACA